GACGTGGTTCGCGCCGCCGTGATTGCTGTGACCGACGACGGGCCTCTCTGTTGCTCCTCCGGTTTAGCCAATTGCTCAGAAGTGTTGTGGGTGAGCTCCTGAGCCTTCCCGTGCTTTGTGTTTAATCGCTACCGGTCTTGTTTCGCCGGTGTAGGGCAGCCGCGCTGTCGTGGCCGCCATGGCCGACGTCAAGCTCGAACCTCGCTGTAATTGCTCAAGCTAGTGCCTCCAATTGATGCGTTGGGTTGTGGGGAACGTGTTGGTACCTTCGCCTTGGCCGGGGACCTCACCGACGGTGAGTTACCGATGGTCAAATCGCGGTCGTCGTTGTTGGAGCGGGAGGACGGGGATGACAGGTGGGGTCACCCTGTCGGTGACTCAGTGTTTCAAAATGGAATTTTTCCTTTTTCAGATTTGAACGAATAGTGATGTGATTTGTTATTTTTGTGTAGATTTATTTAGAGCTCCAAAAATTATGAAAATTTTTGTGTGATCTCTATGGGATGTATATTATTTAGGAAAAATATGAAATGTTGTTTTTCAGTACTTTTTGAATGTGATAAAAATTGCTCAATTAATTAATAAATGAGTTTCTATGATTTTTCTAGGCTTAATTAATTATCCAAAAATTATGCAAATTGTTTTGTCTCCTAGTTATCATGTGATGAACCTTTACAAAAATTTTGAGCTCAATTGAAATAAGTTGATTTATTTCATAATTTTTAATTAAATAATTAATTCATAAAAGCAAATAGTAACCTTTAATGATTTAGGTTTTGATTGAATTTTGGATTGAGTGATGACCTTGGGTCATTAGTTGATAATGATCCTTGGCAATGGAATTAAGTGTTACGAAAAAGGTTTAGTTAGTTTGACTTGTAACTATACCGCGAAGGAAAGTTGTATTCAAGTTGTTAATTTTGCATCCATCATCGAGCATCATGTTTTATATCTCGCATCATGTTAAACATAGCATTGTTACTACGTGTAGTGAACGAAGGTGAGCACGTGGTAGTTAATCAAGTTGTGGAAGAAGTTAATCCGTCTGTGGAGGTTGGAATTGAGATAGGTGGAACGACTCCGAAACCTAACTTTTCCATCAACGAAGGCAAGCCCCGGATGCATTTAAACCTACCTTGTGTTTTACAAATTGATTTCACTTTTGCTTTTCTTTACTGCATTAAGTGATTAGGAGTTAAGTGAAAACCTAATTGGTGCATTACCAACCTTGTTTTTCCATATCTACCTTGTTACCAGTTTAATTCGTATATGCCTAGTTATGCTTAGCCATGCTTAGACCGATAAAAGTCGGGTGATTACATGTCACCTGCAAGATTTAAATGGATCTTTGGTTACGCTTGGTTACTTATGTGATCATGAAATATGAGCATGTGGAGTAATAAATCTAGATCGAGCGGACTCGGTGTAGGGGAGCCACAAGATGTGGAGGTCTTGTGAGCGAGTTCTTTCCGCCTATGTCGATTAAGGTCCGTCCGTTGTTGAACTACGTGAGATGAGACTTTGTAGTACTAACCACATACTCCGGTAAGCTTTAACTTGGCGATTCTATTACGAGAATGGCTACTCGCGCACTAGGAGTGGAGAGATGGCGGGAATAGCATGTACCCATGTGGCAATGGGCTGGATTGGTGGAGTACTATATTCTCGGGTGGCGCGGACCCGTTCTTGTTTTAGAGGACCTGAGGGTAGGTTGGTATATGTAGGTCGGGGACTTGCATATGTCGTGTGGTCTGGAATTTCCAGCTGGGTTATAATCGGTTCGAATCATCGTTGCTCTTCGGTTATAGAGACTCAACTCTCTGTTCATCATCGTAGTTAATAAATGAAACTTGAGCTAAATTTTGAGAAAGAGTTTGATATGAAGTTCATGATCTCATTACGGATCATGACAGATTCATATGTGGTTCTTATGAAGTTTTATATGTTGAAGTAAAGAATTTTGTTAAAGAGCTTTTACGCAAAAGAACTTTGATTATTGCTAAAGCCATACCTTGAATCTCTGAGCCTGCATTCCTGAGTTCTATCAGTTTTTATTTCGGTTAAGTCTTGTTGAGTACTTTTATACTCAAGGTTCGTTGACCCTTGTTGCAGGTGAGGCTCATGAGCAGGTCTGCTTTGGACCATGCTGCATGACTGTTGTTCAATGCGATGACGATAAGTAAATGTGTGGCCCTTGGGCAGGGCAATCTATTTATGTGTTTTGTATTATGTTATAATGCCACTCCACTACTACGTTTTGTAATAATTATCGAACTTAGTTTGTAAGGTTTGAAACTACTGTTTTGTAAACTAAGTTATTGTAAGACTTCCGCTATTTTACTCTGATGTATTTATTTGAATAAACTGTTGTAATACTGCAATGACTCTGTAATGTGACCCTGCTCGGAAATCGTGGATGATTCGGGGTTCCCTGAGGACACCCGACAGTTTTCTTAAATTACCTGGAACATATGCATAGTTGTCAGAGGTCATTGGACAGTGACAGGTACATGTGGGCCCAATAATTTAAGAGGTTCTGCCACACCGGAGAAGGACAAGAAGAGGATCCAGGCCCATCTCGCCGCCATCCACTTCCTGAAGGAGAAGGGGCTAAAGGGGTCGGGAATCATCAGCGCCTACCATGCGAGGAGGGTGGCGCCACTGATGAGGCGCGCACTTCCCCTATACGCGATGGCGCCCGGAGCGTCATTCGACGGGACGACGCTTGTCGAGGAGGCGCTCTCCCCCTCTGAAGTCGCGCAGTGCATCAAGGAGGCGATGGAGCCTTATCGGGACAGCGCGGGTGCCCCTCTCGATTTTATGTACCCGGTGCCAGGGCATCCCTCGATGCGGCTGGAACCAGGGTACATTGTTGTTGGGCTGTCGGCACATGCACTGGGAAGTGAAGAGCGCGTGGGGGCTAGAGTCACGCAGCACGCGGAAGTGAGGAGCGCGCGTGGGGTCTGGGGTCGCGCGGTTGACGCTATGCGCGACCGGTCACGCTTTATCCCGGTCCTATCACCAATAGTTGTCAACGTGGTGTTCCTTTGTGGAGAGTGGGGCTAGACAAGATCATGCGAGACATTGATCAGGTGGTTTGTCTGATGATGGGTAAGATGGGGAAACTAGGCTAGCAATTAAGTCGAGCTGAATATGGGATAGAGATGATCTTTGCCAAAGAAACCTTCGGGACTAGGAGCTTCCAAACACCAAGGCAGTCAACTAGACTCTAAGGTGAAGTCTCTCCCAGGACACTAGTGCTTAAAATTAGGACAGGTTTAGGGCCTACAAAGAATTATAAAAAAGTTTAGCGATGGTTGGTTTTTAGATTTTGGGGCTTTAGTCATTACATATACCTTTTCTTGCTACGTTGGGATCAATATCGTGAATCAAAATTGTACTTTCCTGCGCTACTATCAAAACAAAGGCCTTTCCGTTTTTCTAAATCTTGAGTTAGCACCACCATGATAGATGGTTTCTGATGCCGAAAGCCAGGTACAACCCCGACATCAATTGAATTTTCCATGCTTTTGCCTGTTGGATTTGAGTTTTTTTAACAAACCAAACAAGTGAGTTGCTGATTATATTAATAAAGAAAAAGACCTAGACTAAGCAAAACAACATCCTCAAAAGGGTTTACAAAAGAATGCAACAGCCACTTAGATTATGACAACTCTTGGATTTGAGTTGGCATCATTATAATTGATGTCTTGCATTGTTGTTATTTGGAACTGTTGATAACCTTAAAGATCGTATTTCCAATGTTGCTACCTATGCGATGGATCAATGTCCTCGTATGTGATGCTCGTTTCTACTCTTCTTTGTTAATTTAGTTTTTTCTATTGCCTCAAATGAACCACTGTTTCATATTTTAAATGATAATTTTTTTCCAAATAATGCTAGTAGATATTGTACACGATACATTTAAATAAAGAGGTCTACCTCTACCTGCACATATACTTTTAGATGTACTATAATCTTCAACATTTTAACTTGGATCTATGCTACCATTTTTGACTAACTAAAATGGTACTAACTCCTATCATTTGTTTGCATTTCTTTTTGTTGCTAACTATATTTATTATGGACCGTTTGTTTAGGTATTTTGTTTGTTAATCACATGAAAAATCAAAATAACATCCTTAATTGTATTCCAAATTTTAGCGACCAGATATTTTTTTCATGGTTTCTTGCTTTAGATATTTTATAATTTCAATTCTAACTGAATTTCGAATAGTTTTTGCCATCATTCTAAAAATTTAGGTATTCATAAATTGTATTTGACATTAACACTTATGGAAATTACTAAATTTTTTATGTTAAATTTTAAATTTAGTTTTTTTTTATTTTGTAACAAACTACATATATCTATCATTAATGGATATGCCAAATAAATTTTTCCAGCGATGCAAAATTTCCATGTTTCCAACTTGCGGTTGGTCTCCAGTCTCCACTATATTGTCACCCTAATTATTTTCACAGAACCAAACGGTTGGAATCTGCTACTGAAATCAATGAATTTGTGGCATCCCTTATCTTTTTTGTAATGCGGCTTGGATAAATACGGATTCCAAATCTACAGGCAGTCACTTCAAGTTCAGTTACCAGCCCATCCTGCCATTTCTTACGTAGAAACCAAAGCCACGTTTCACCCGGAAATAGCAAAACATCAGCCGCACATTTCCAACGAAAAAACCCACAAAAGTAGCAGCGCACCACCCCATTCGGCAATTTCCCCTAGCCCGCGTACCCCACTGAAGGGGCCCACGCGTCAGTGTCTTCAACGCCGGCCCATCGGACGGCCGCGCCGCCGCGAAATCCTAGATCGCACGGCTCAGATCCGTCGGCAACGGCCTATAAATGGGCAACCTCACCCCGCGGCCACGAGCTCCCTCCTCTCTTTCCGCCTCCACCCCTCGCGAGCTTCGTTCGACACACGCGGCGGCCCCCTCCCTCCTCCAGGCTCCAGCCCCAACCAACCCCCGGCGGCGGCGGCGGCGATGCAGATGGCAGCGGCAGTGGCCCCCACCGACGCCCCGGCCTCGGCGGCTCCGGCGGCGCCGCACCCCCACCCCCACCCCCACCCCCACGCGCACGCCGCCGCCTCGCCGCACCCGCACCCGCACGCGCCACCACACCCGCACCACCATATGCCGCAACCGCGGTGGGTGGTCATCCCGTACCCTCCGCCACACCACCCCATGGTGGCCGCGCCGCCGCCACCTCCTCCGCAGTTCGTCAAGCATTTCGCGCCGCCGGCCTCGGTAACGCCGCCGCCGCCGCCCGCTGGATCCGGCGGGAACGGGGGCGAGGACAACCGGACCATCTGGGTGGGCGACCTGCAGTACTGGATGGACGAGAACTACCTCCACAGCTGCTTCGGCCCCAGCGGCGAGGTTCGTTCTCTCTCTCCGGGAGCCTGCTCCTCCGATCCGGCCTTATCCGTACCGGATCTCTCGAATCCAGCTAGTTTTAACCCATGGCTGAGCGTTGATTCGTCTATACTGTGTGCTGTAACAGGCTTAGCGGCGTAGTTGTCCGGCAAATCCCGGTTTGGTAACGAAAAAGTAATGCGCTTTGTAGTCAGTCTGCTAGCCTCGGTAGTTGCTAAGGCGCCAACTTTCAGGTCATTTCAATTCCTGCAGTTTGGGCGGCCCAAAGTAGTTACGTAAATTTATCACACTGCCAAATCTTGATGTGCGCAATCGTGTAGCATCTGACGTAGTCATATCTCTCCCTGCCAATTTGTTACATGATTGGAAATGTGGACTGAGTTTGTGACATTCGTAGCAACGCAGTCAGGTTCTCAGTTAAGGCTACTGTATTTGACTTAAATGGTTATCCCTTTAATATATTGGTCATGAATGTCTATCTTTTATTCCACGCATTACTGATTGCCAATTCGCTAGTCATCTGCTATTGTGTTGTTATAAGGTAGTAACGCCATCAATTTTTCAGTTAAGACTACTATATTTGGCTTAAATAGTTTATCCTTTTCTTGATAACGTGGTAGTACTTGCTGCGTCAAGTAAGGTTTTGTTGTCTTTTCTTTGAGAGATTTGCTCTGTCATTACGTTACCGTTTTCTCCATGCGTTACTAATTGCCGTTTCGCTATTCATCTGCTTTTGTAGGTGGTGAATATTAAAGTCATTCGCAATAGACACTCGGGAGTTTCCGAGGGTTATGGTTTTGTAGAGTTTTATTCGCACGTGTCAGCAGAGAAGTCACTACAGAATTTTTCTGGTCATGTAATGCCTAATACTGACCGGGCTTTTAAGTTAAACTGGGCATCATATAGCATGGGAGAAAAACGCATGGAACTTTCATCTGATCACTCGATATTTGTTGGCGATTTGGCTGTTGATGTTACTGATGAGATGTTACTGGAGCTTTTTTCTAACAAATACCGATCAGTGAAAGGAGCTAAAGTTATTATTGATGCAAACACAGGCCGTTCTAGAGGCTATGGCTTTGTTAGGTTTGGAGATGATAATGACAAAACTCATGCAATGACTGAAATGAATGGTGTATACTGTTCCACAAGACCAATTCGTGTAGGACCAGCGACTCCTAGAAGATCTCAAGGTATTTCCAGAATTTGATATTATTGCTTTGTATTTAGCCCTTGCCTCCAGTTATTACACATCTATAATGTTTTTCCACATTCCATGATCTTGACTTTATATTAGTCAGTGCTATTTGTTCAGAATTTTATTGCTACCATATGAATTTTCCCTGTAATAAATATGCTATGAGTTCCACACATATAACTGGGAGTTGTAACAATCATTTTTTCTGCATATCTACTCCTCATTGCTTGATGCTATGGTTTTTTAAGGTGGTTCTGTTATATTTCAATATTTTGAGTACATGTTAATACATGCATCATGCATACATGTTCAAATAAGTAATATTTGGGGCCTGGTTTTCCTAGCATCTACTCCAGCATATTGGGGCTCTGTGGGTAGGTGTGCAGTTTTTTTATCAATAATTTTCCCATTTGACATGCCTTTTGATTTTATAATTGCTTATTTTTAGGTGAATCTGGCTCTTCTCCACCAAGGCAGTCTGATGTTGACTCTACTAACCGGACGGTATGGCTCTTCAGTTGTTTTGGTTACCTTAAAGCACATCTGTTTATTGATAACAGTTATACTAGCCTTACTCTATTTTACTTGCTGTTGGACTTGGAATGTTCTCCCATGCATGCCTTTCATCATTAGTTTTTTTTTTGGTAAAATATGTTTGCAGAAAGTTAGAAAGTATATAGTGATGTGAAAATGCTTTTGGAAGCTAAATATATGAAAATGCTTTTGGAAGCTAATGAACTAATATCATTTTCTTGTAACAGATCCAAATACTAACAATGTGTATTTGTAGTAAATATTTTATATGGTTGTCCGCATGCATTCTAGGATGATGCACTGAAATGCTATATCAATACTTGTTATAATGCTGCAGGTATATGTTGGTGGGCTTGATCCCAATGTTAGTGAAGATGAACTGAGGAAAGCATTTGCAAAATATGGTGATCTTGCCTCTGTCAAAATTCCTTTTGGGAAGCAATGTGGGTTTGTTCAATTTGTAAACAGGTATATCTGAGATAATGTATCTGAATCCTTGCATTTTACACCATAGTATCATAAAACATCCGATTGTGAACTGTTTATTAAGTTTCTACTTTGCTGTAAAATTTTAGATTACGTAAAACTTTCTTGTCTTGTATTGTAGAGCTGATGCTGAAGAAGCACTGCAAGGGCTGAATGGATCAACTATTGGGAAGCAGGCAGTTCGACTTTCCTGGGGCCGCAGCCCTTCCAGTAAACAGGTTGAACGGATTTCGTTCCAATTTTGCATTTGTCACAATAATAGTATAATTCGAACTTGTCATACTCCTGCTTGATGTGGCATATTATAACTCCTTAGAGCCCGATTAACTCCATTATTTTCAAGAAAGGGAATGAGAGAGCCTCAGATGGAGAAATATTGGGAAGGAACAACACTTTTAACATGAATATGTTCCTATGTGATAATCAGGAATCCTTGATGGTATGGTATCTAGCTGGAAGGACTTGCTCTTCCATATTTATCAGTGGCATGGTTTCTAAGGCTTCAACTAAGCATGGTTGTGAGAGGTAAGGGGTCCAGTTGCCTAGGCAAAAGGAGGGGAGGGGAAGAGTAGGAAGCGCAACTCTTCCTTTGATGCTGATTTGGATGGTGTTGGTTGTGGTGGTGTTTGGTCTGGACTAGGATAGGGAGGGGGATGTTTCGGGGACAGGGAGGCACTTGTTGGGGGCAGGCCCTACCATGTTCCTTTGCTATGCCCTATCACTACTGGTGCATGGTGGTGGGGGCTTGGTGATGGGACTTGGGATCTGAGGGGAGGTAGTTGGCTTGGTCGGTGATGGGGCTTGGGATGTGAAGGGAGGTAGTGGCGCTTTAGGTCTTTTGGCTTAGAATGTCCTTCCATTCACTAGTGGTCGAACCTTGAATAGAATGGGCTTTCATTCACTAGTGGCTGATCTCTTTATTCAATTTGGCCCATATATGCTCCTATTTTCTGTTTTCCTGCCTAATGTGGTTATATTGTGGACTTCATGGGTCCGCCGGATGGCCCAGGCACCGGCACAACAAAGTGGCTAAGGAGTAGTCTGCTCACAGCTCAACTAGGCAGGAGTCACCTGCTTGCTCTGCACGCAAACAGAAGCCATGTAAATTTCTTCGATGCTTCCACTCTCTGGTGCCACTCCAAGTTGATCGAGCAGGGGGGTGGGGCGTCAATTGCGGGGCGAGATGAGCTTCGGTGGGGATGGGTCGATTGCGGAGTAGGGTTGGGGCACTGGTTGTGGGCGCTATTAGGCGTCTCTGTGTGATTAGCTATAATTAGCACCTGCTATGTATACTTGATTGTATTCCTTGTATACCCAGCCATATTGGCTATATATATGAAGGTCACCCCCATATTGGGTGTGAGGTGTGTCTCTACATGGTATGAGACTATCAGATCCTATTTTTCCGCCTTCTTCCCAGTATGACCCCTTCCCGATCAGGCCAAGATCCCCTAACGCGCGCGACTCCTCGCGCCGTCCACCTCCTCACCGGTTGCTCCTCTCTCCTCTCCGATGGACACGTTGGCCTCCCTCGCCTCCGCCTCCTCCCGGCCCACGGCTGTGGCAAGACTGCCCATGACAGGCACTCCCACCATGCTCGCCATGAGTGCCAAGCTACTGCAGACCGATCGTGGCTCACCACTACGCCACGATCAATGTCAAGTCCCACATCCCGATTATGTTGGACCTTCAATCCAACTACTCCAAGTGGGCATTCTTCTTCAAGTCGACAAAGCGGCAAGTTCGCCTTCGCTTTCGCACATCGACGGCTCTCTCCCTCGACACGATGATCCTCGTGGGATGCCACGAGTGTTGCGTCCGGTTGGATCTCCGACTCCGTCGACGACTCCGTCCTGACCTCGCCATGGATCGGCCGATCCAACCGCCCGTGGATCGTGGGTGGCCATTGAGGGGATCTTCCGCGCCAATCGGGGGCCGCGCGCCATCTTCCTCAACGAATTTCACTCCATGGTGCAAGGTGACAGCACCATCTCGGCGTACTACCAGCGGCTGAAGACCAAGGCCGCCACCCTTCGCGACGTCGGCCATCCTGTCGAGGACTCGTAGCTCGTCCTCGCCCTTCTGCGTGGCCTCAATCCTCGCTTCTCCAACACCGCCGACGACATCGCCAACTCCGCTGTACTTCCCACATTCGCCAGAGCCCATGACATGCTGGCACTAAAGGAGCTCCGTCTCGCCAACGATGAAAAGACGGTCGCCAGCACCGCCCTCCTTGCCACCGCCGGGTCGCTCTCGCTGCCACAACCATATCTGGAGGTGCACACAACCCACACGTGACCGGCTACGGCAGCAGCAACAAGGGCGGCGGCGGTGGCAACAAAGAAGGCAAAGAAAGAGCAAGGGCAAGGGCGTGGATCGAACAATGACCTGTGGCGGGGCGGCTTTGGTAAGCGCGCCCCAACCGGCTAGCTGTGAAGCGGCCAATACCGACCCATGGGCCCTGGATTTGCTACAATCCATGGGCGCCCACAGGCCCTCCTTTGGCTCAAGAGGCGGTCGGGCGCCAGCGCAGCTTGGCGCCCTCCTCCTCCAGCTCACACGCCTTCAAGCGCCACGCAGCCCCCCGGCGACATTTGCGCCGCTCCACGTCTCCCAACATGCTCCCATGTGGAACCAGGATGGTCTTGTTGCTGCACTCAATCAGATGCATCTCCAGGGCCAGCATCCCTGGGTCCTGGACTCCGGCGCCTCCTCCCACATGAGCTCCTCGGATGGTATACTCCTCTCTCGCCATCCTCCTCCTTACTCTTCCATTACCGTTGGCAATGGTCAAACTCTTCCTATTTCATGTCGTGGCGAGTCTGTCCTTCATACACCAGAGTCAAATTTTCATCTTAATAATGTCTTAGTTGTCCCATCCCTAGTCTGCAATCCGCTATCTGTCCGTCAATTTACTAGGGACAACAACTGCTCTATAGAATTTGACGCTCTTGTTTTTTCTGTCAAGGATATCCCGACCCGACGAGTGATGCTTCACTGCAATAGTGCTGGCGACCTTTACACCTTCCCTGCTGCGTATTCCGCTCCACACGCCAGCATCGCCATCTCCACTGACCTCTGGCATCACCGTCTTGGTCATCCCAGCTCCACCATTGACATTCTTCGTCGTAATGCGTCCATCAGCTGTAATAAAGTAGAGCACCAACTATGTCATTCTTGTCAGCTTGGCAAACATGTGCGCCTTCCTTTTTCAGATTCTAGTTCATTTAGCTCCATGCCTTTTGAACTTGTTCACTGTGATGTATGGACATCCCCGGTTGCCAGTGTATCCAAGTATCAATATTATCTCGTTTTACTTGATGATTTCACTCATTTCTGTTGGACCTTTCCCCTCACTCGCAAATCTGAAGTCCCCACACATATTACAAATTTTTGCAATTATGTCCACACTCAATTCAGCCTTGCCATCAAGGTATTCATTTACGCCTTTCGTGTCCATATACCTCCCCACAAAATGGCAAGGCTGAACGCCTTCTTCGCACATTGAACAGCATCCGCCGCACGATGCTCCTCCATGCACACATGCCTGCTCAGTACTGGGCTGAGGCGCTCGCCACAACCACATATCTTCTGAACGGGCGTCCATGCTCTGCTGTTCGCCACACCATTCCATATACCCTCCTCCACAACAAACCTCCCGAGTACTCCCACTTACGTGTCTTTGGGAGTCTCTGTTATCCGAACTTGACCGCCACGGCTCGCCACAAACTCTCCCCTCGCTCCACAGCTTGTGTTTTTCTCGGCTATCCCTCTTCCCACAAGGGGTACCGCTGCCTCGACATGGCCACTCAGCGCGTCATCATCTCTCGCCATGTGGTCTTCGATGAGACTTGTTTTCCCTTCGGGCTTTACCCCTCCAGGTCCTCGCCAAGCGACCTAGACTTTTTGCTTGCAGGTACTACAGTGCCGGTGCGTCCTGCATCCTTGCCCACTGCTGTTGGGCAGCCACACCAAGGATTCATTGAGGAGCTGACCGACGACCCCGCGATTTTGTTTCACAGCCCCGTACTGCCTGCTGCTCCACCAGCAGCCGATCCACCACCTGCTGCTCTACAGGCGCACACTGGCCATGGGGCAAGGTGAGCTCCAGCGCGCACCGGCCGTGGTGGTGCTCCCACATGTTAGGTGCCTCATCCAACTTTCTAATGTCCCTCAACCAAACACAGGATGCGAGTGCTCCCATCCCTCAAAACTGGGATGGGACCGTCCCATCCCACCATGTCCCCAAACCAAACACAACCTAAACTAGTTTGTTTGCATGATTTGTTAGAGTTGGATTTGGTTTGTTAAGCGCCTAAATATAAGTGTAACCATCAAAGAAATAAACTCCCCTGTTCATCAGGGTGAGTTGTCTTAGACCGCGGCAAGGAATCCTTCCTCGTTCGATGACAACTGTCCACAGTTGTGTCCAGCTCACTACCCTCTTTGTTCTCTTTCCGACACATATCTACTACTGCACTCTCCCTAGTGTTCTGTTTGTCGTGCATGCCGTAACAAGTTGGCATCATAGATCGACCAATGGGCGTCGACTATGTTGGGACCAACATTGCGTAGCTAAACCATATCATCCCAGCTCGTGACGATGAAGTCCTGTGTTGACTTCCACAACAAACGCCTGTCAGACAGAAATTCTGCTTCGGCGAGGGCGAAGAAACCATCACGGACGGTTCGCTACCACTCGAAGCTCACAAGTGTGGCGGCAGCGGTAACAGGTTCAACCGCGCCCCCCTGTGATGTTAGTACTTTTTCTTATAGAGGTGGTCAAAGTTGAAATTGTTGACTCCTTGGGGAGTGAGAATTGTATTTTTGGGACAGAGGGAGTATGTTGTTCCTACTCATTTTTCACTGAGATTTCTGTAGCCCTTTTGTCACGTCTATATTTAAGTACTATTGCATGTAGCCCTCTCTATTGAATTACATCTCGAAGTGTTATTCCTTAATATGTATTGAATTACATTATGTGATAATTGCTATTGCCACTCTCTCCATATTGGGCAATATTTCATCTTGACCTTTTTTTTTTCTTAACCTGTATTAGTGGTTGGAGAGTTTGTCCTCCCTGATGGCAGGCTCAAGTCTTTTCAAACATATATAAACTAAACAGTTTTTCTGCCTTCATCTGAAGCCTTCAGCTGGTCAGTCGGCCTCACAGAATGAAGTTGACATGGCTAGAATGACCTTTGTTCCTTTGCATATTCAAGCCTCAACTTTTGCTGTTTTCATTGTTGCACTGTAATACAAGGTCTCTTTCAATCTGATATTTCATTTAGATGACGTAGTCTAAGGCTGCATATTTGGACTATGGACTGGAGGTTCACTCAGCAGTGGCTTATAGATTGCTCCTACATTGTCGTCTTTGACTAAAACTTTGACAATAATAGTTTTGCGAACATCTCATCTGATAACATGAAAATGGTTAGATTTTTCATGAATCTGTAACTATTTGTATATATAATTAGGAAAGTATTATTACTCAAAGTTTGGAGTCAACAGTGTCAATTGTTGTGAAGAAAGGTGTATCTCGGCTTTTTCTCAGGATATCGAGGGCCTGAACATGTGTGCTTAACATCTTAAGTTCTAGCCTAGGGGCTTGAGGCTGTGCAACATGTGGATATTTATGCTGAAGCCTCATAAACTAGTGTCTGCATGAAGATAAACCCTCCAAGCCCCTCTTTGGAGGAGAGTTGTCTTCAGAAACTATCTTACTAGTTACTAGAAAATCTGGCTGAGGAGCTTCATCTTAGGTCTGCTTAAGAACCCCAAGGAGCATCAGCTAAACACGCTTATATAGCTGATAGCAGCATAAGTGTTTTGCTAGATTTAGGTTATCCGTTTACCTTTGGAAGAAACAGTGGCAGCCCTTTGGAGTGTAGTCTTTTGTACTTCTAATACCATGTGTTTTCATCATAACCATGTTTGCGCGCTAGGTAGAATTGCAATGATAAATTTATATCTTTAATTAATATTTCCTGCCACTTCTTAAGTTTTTTTCTCATGCATGGAATGTTGAGTTTGCTTTTGCTGTAATGTGTATGAGGCTTAACTAATATTGTTCGTTTTGCTCACTTGGAATTTTTTGTGTTTTCCAGTCTCGGGGTGATTCTGGCCACCGGCGCAACGGCAATGGCAATGGCATGTACTACGGGACACCATTCTACGGTGGATATGGCTATGCCTCACCGGTTCCCCACCCAAACATGTATGCCGCGGCCTACGGAGCCTACCCATACTATGGCAACCAGCAGCTAGTGAGCTGATGTGGCTGACGCTCTCTGCTCCGTTTCCTCCCTCGGAAGAAACAAGGTTTTGGTCCAGTAAGCATAGTAGCTATGATGAGATATTTATAGGTGGCCATAAAAATGGGCGAGAGAGACGAGACAGGTATATGATGATAATGCTACCTGCAGATTTGTGCTGCTAGTAGAACCTGAAAGAGCTTGTAGTAGACAATAAATCCTATTTTTGCCTTAGAAATTTTGACTTGCTAATAAAACTAAAGCTATCGGTTGTTGTGACTGTCTGGTTGGTTGGTGTGCTGTTTTAGGTTTTTGCATTTTTGCGGTGGTTCTTTTAGCTGCATGCTCGGTTCGTCAGTTGCTGTCATTTCGCATCAGTAGCTCTGTCACTGTGAGTACGAAGTTTGGGGCCTAACTGCAGCGGGGCCAAGCTATCTGCCAAGACTGGCTTGAGCCTTGAGATTTTAGAGGTGCTGAACGAAAACGAAGGCACGCAGCTAAACATATTAGTGAGGGAAAAAGTCTACTTAACCTCCTCTTCATACTTGGTCTATTTTACCTCTCAACTATGAAACCGTCTGTTTTACCCCCTGAACTTTCCAAAACTGTCTATTTTACTCCCGGTGGTTTTTGACAACGGTTTGCTACAGTAACCGTGGGTTTATTTAAGCAATTTTTGTGAAGCATTGAACCTAGGGAAATAATAAATTTTATGGAATTAAAATCAATTATAAGGTTAGTACCCAGTTGATGCATACACGCTGCTGCATATTTATTTTGTGATGATTGGTTTTGATTCAAAGTTCAAATGAATTCAAAATATATTTTAAAGTACTTTTGGAAATGTATTTAAAAAAAAAGAAATTTTTTTCTTCCCTTCCTTCCTCCTTTTTTTTCGCCCGCTGGCCGAGCTCCCTTTTTTCCTCTCTTATAAGACGCAAGGCCACCAAAGATGGCGCCGACCACTCGAGCGGGTCGGCAACCGATCGTCTCGCTTTCGGCCCAAGAAGCCCCGGCCCATTTCAACTCGGGAGCAACCGCTGCCATCCTCAAGACCTAATCGCTGACCGCTTTGGCCGCCTGTCAAGCGTTCTCCTTCTCCCAGAATCAGAAATAGCCGGTCAAGTTGTTACAAAACCGCCGCGCTCTACTCGCGTCGTGGGGAGCGCTGCCATTCACGGACTCTTTAAAAGGAAGCCGAGACCCCCACGCGTCCCTCTCATTGTTTTCGCTTCGTTTTTTCTTCATTGCATTGGCACGGAAGCCGAATCGCTGAGCCGAAGGTCGCCGGATCCGCCGTCCTCCCCTCGCGCGGACAACCGTCTTCGAGCCGCCGTCGACCGATTTTTCCCGCCTGTGAGCTTCGCCAGTGCTCCCTCTTTCTCCCCATGCAGTTTATTTCGAGTTTCGTGGCTTCTAGCGCCTAATCCATGAAGGCCGTCAACCTCCTTGGCGCTGCCATGCCGCCACGCCTCGCCATCGCGTCCCGGCGCAAGGCTTGGCCTTGGCGAGTTCCCTTCACCCTCAGAACTCCCGGTGCCCTCGGTTATTCAACCGTGGCCCCTATCCTCAATACCTAGCTTTCGCTTCGTCACCATGGTTGAATCTGGCCGACGGAAGCACTCGTTCGCCACCCCTTTCCTTCTCTCTCCCCAGATCTTATCCGAGCTGTTCATTTCAAATCCAACGGTTCTCAGTGGCTCATACCCCTTCGTGGGTCAAATTTCTAAAGAGCCCCTCGGTTTTCATCTATTTGAACCCACAATCCATAGCGTAAATTTCGAGCACGCTTTCTTCTTTGAAAACGTAAACTAAATTGTTTTAGTCCCAAGTACGTTTTCAAGATTTACGTAAATGTCATTTGTCTTTGTTTTTTGCTTATAAAATCGTCGTTATAGTCTCGATTTGAACCGTTCAAATTATGTTAGCTTCGTAATTTCATAATCTACATGTTAGTACCACTGTTAATCAAGTTTGCCACTTTTATATTTCATGGTTAGGTTTAATTAAATAAAGTACTATAGGAAACCCCGTTTAATTCATAACTTTCGCGTTTTAGCTCCGTTTTTCGTGAACTTCGCGTTGACGTGATCGTAGCGAGACGTAGATTATTTTTATAAACATTTCATCTTGTTTTCTATACTGTTGGTGTACTGTTCTAATTATAGGATTGTTTGCTTTACATGAATGCCTTTGGAATGTTGTATGTTGCCGTTTTGGTCGCGTTTAGACGGTGAGGAGAACGTCAGTGACCAAGAATTCTTCGACGAACAGCAGGACCAGCAGGAATTTGCTAACCAAGGCAAGTATAGCATGGGATCTACCTTGATGCCTATTCACCTTTATTAATTACTCATTTGCATGTGTCTAATTTTGATACCCGTAAGGACATCCTAGTGATTGATTATGCTGTTCCTTGTCTCATATGGGTTATATGCATATGGGTAGTTTGCTAGCGCTCAATGTAACTATACCTGATCTACATAATGAACAATGGTTCTATGGAACAAAAAGGTAAAATTGACTTTTAAACAACTGAATTATAGGGCGATGGGGCAAATGACCTTTTGATCATGATGCTCTCGGCCCTCCATAAGGACTTATCTGTCGGGAAAAGCTGGGATTGACAGTGCAACCGTGAGGGTCATATGGCTCTGACTTTAGCTCAGTAATAGGACCTTTTCTAGCTTGTTAGAGGTTACCTTTATGGTGCAAAAGAGGTTTGCCACGTTGGGTATAGGACTGCCTCTGTTCCTATGTGTATAGCCGCGATGGATATGTGCCATAGGAAAGGGGGGTTCCTACATCTGCATGCCAAGGAAATCTAGCGGCCCTAACTTGTTAGAGAAACCTATGAAATGGCTTCATAGTGTACCCTGCCCACTCACCTTGGCAGTGATATGGGAGTAATTAACCCGGACATATGGGAATCACGACTCACGGTGAATGTGCACCACCTCTGCAGAGGGTAACAAACTGTTATAACAGCCGTGCTCACGGTCACGAGCGGCTCGGAAAACTCACAGAATAGATGGCTACTTATAATGTTGTTTATACGAGATGGTTATGATGATATTATGATGATGTTACATGACTCAATTGGATCGGATATATGATCATGTGGGTTTAAATGGGAGCTTAAGCATAACTTGATAATAACTGATGATAAAATCTTGACTTAGTAAAAGTGCTAACTGCAGTAAGCCAGTGTTATCCTTTTTGAGCCTCATGAACCCCATGTTGTCTTGTTAAGTACGGGAAGTACTTACGCTTGTTTATTTTATATATTTGGATAAAAATCCCGGATGGGTAACAGATGACAACGGATATGAGGAGTTTCCTGAGGATTATTAGGCTTGGGGTCAACCAGTCGACCGTCCCTGTGTTGGAGCTATCACAAGAGAGCTATCTTTTTACTTTCCGCTGTGATGTGTAAGACTATGTGATGCTATTATTCGTTATGTAAGATACACCGTGATGATACTTTTTATAATTTGTCAGCTTATGTGTGTGACTGATCCCTGGGCACACATGAGTTTAGTGCACTCAATTTTATCCTTAAAATTGGGTGTGACAAATTGGTATCAGAGCTGTGTTGACTGTAGGACGCAAGCCTAGTAGAAACTGGCCGTTTTAAGGTTTATAAGTTGCTGCAAAAACCCTTGCTCTATGAACCTTGATATTTTCTTCTCTACTATATCTCTATCTTTGCTATTCGTCCCTTGGTGCTTATTTTAAAGACTTTGTTCTCATCTTCACTTCTTGGTTTGTTATGCTTTTAGAACTATCCCTCATCACCTTCTTACATGATCTGAAGAAGAGTCTTAGGATTGTTACCCCTAGCACAATAAAAACGATAGTGTCGCAAGTCGAGTTAATGATTGAGTTGTGCATCTTTATTGATTGTCGAATTGTCATTATGCTTATAATTGTTTTGAATCTTTGTAATGATTGCAATGATCTTGTTGGGTGTTCCCATAATTTTATTTAGTTATAGGCCTAAGGTATAAGGATTAATGAAATAAATAGTCGGGTTTTGGTTTTCTTCTATTTTCCCTATCCTGTCTTTTCGGAGCAGTCTGCACTCTTCGGCTTATGTCTCTGAATTTGGATGACCAAAAATTATGAGAAAATTTTGGACAATAGTAGACTTCAACATCTTTCTCTGAGCGAAAGAATCACCTTGATAGCTATTTTGGTTATGGAGATACGAAAATCACAAGGCGATGCATCTGTGCTGTTTGGAATCTGGAATAGTTTCTGTTGTGTACTGTTTTTGACCAAGTGAACTGCAGAATTTGGAAAAGTGTTCTATAAGGAAGTTGTGGAGAATTTTATGAGCTTTCGAACGTTATAAGCTACAACTTCATTGGATTAACAGAATGAGAGTTACAGCCGTTTTACGACGCTGCTGTTTTCCTGCTCGCGAAGAATTCTAGATTTCTTGTTCTTGCCTATATACAAGAGTATCAATGGGATGACAGAACATCTTGATGTTAGTTAGCTCATCTAGAAGGAGATGCAAGCTATACTTTGGTGTCCCCTGGTTTATCTTTTCTTAAGGGGGTAGCCAAGTTGAAGAATTTGTAAGATGAAGTATCATACGTTCTAGTTTGCGCAGCAGAAGCGTGGTGGTACCCAAAGATGTGAAAGCAGTTTAGAGTCTCAATGAGGTTTGACTAAAGATTCAAGGGAAGTTTATCCAAGATCATCAAGATTTTGGTAGAGCTACCAGAAAAGTTTTCAAGTTAGTTTGGATCAAGAAACTTCAGCTAAGTGTTTGAATGAGTCCAAGAAGAGGTTGAAGTAAAACTTAAGTATTAGCTTGGTCAGATCCAGACGAGAGCTTCATATCTACAAGGATGCACCTTGTCAAGGTGTAGAATGTGTCCTTATGCAAAAAGAAATAGTACCTTGCTCGTTAAGTCAACTAAGGAAGCGTGAGTTAAACTACCTAGCATGTTATCTGGAGTTATCCATTGTGAAGCATGGAAGTAATATCTTCTTGAAAGTAAAAGTGA